TTTTTCTTTTTTGTTTTTATAATGTTAAATTTATTTATAAATATGAGTAAAAAGATCCTCAAGTCCTTACGGATAACTGATCATGCACAAGGAATTGCCCTCAACAGATCAAACACAAAACAATACAGCAAAGATCAGTGGCGGAACAAAAATTTCTCCTTAGGTGGGGCTTCTTGTTTCACTCTCCCCTCTCCCCTCCATTTATTACTCTAATATACTATAATTATATAGAATGGATAAAACAAATAAAAAATTGAAATACGAAAGGTCAAATTGTAGTTCAAGTGAAATGGTAAGCGCTGGAAAAAAAGGAAAAACGTGTAAATCCAATTAAAGAATTAATGTGTGCCTTTTCATTTTAGCATATTAAAATGCATGAATTCTTTTTTTAATTTTTTTCGATGACATCCAAATTTAAATAAACCCTCAATCTATTTTTAATCTTCCTCTCTTGTCATGGATTAAAAATAATTTGTGTAAATTACCTTTTAAAAGCTTCGTGACTTGTGAGGGTAGTTGGATGGTGTGTTGAAAGCTAAATTAAATAAATTGTAGGATAATATTAAGAAATTAGTATCAGGTTTTGGTTTTTAAGGGATCTAAGTGAAAGGACATAAAATGAAATTGTAAAAATTTATAAAGTTTAAGTCATTTAAAGAGAGTTTTGAAACTGAAGGTAACTAAAATAAAGAGAAAAAAAAAAAATCAAAAACGGAAGAGAAGGAAATTGTAATTGTAAAAAACTAAAAATCAAAATATTTGTATTGGTTCACTTTACTACAAAGAGAAATAAATTTTATAATACCTTTTTTTAAGCCATTGAATTTATTATTTTTTTATATTTTAGTTATTCAAAATATGGATTACATATTATTTTTTTAATTTTCTTTTCACTTGAACATTTTATGTTTCTTTGTGTGTGTGTGTGTTTTTTTTTATAATTTTAGTTTTTTAAAATTATAAATATTTCATTTCCCTTCAAATTCATCCAATTATAAGATGGGGTCTAGACAATTAAAACCTTAATTTCTTCAAATATTTTCCGCCCAAGTTGGGCCGTGCCTAACCCTGGGCCAGTGTGCTTCCGCTACTAGGAAAAAATCATTCCCTTCTCAGAAAGTCAGCAAAAATCATATAACAAAAGAAAGTAGAGCAAGTTCTCAACGGCAATTCCATGTAAAATGTAAGCAGAACTCTTAAATTTATCCTTAAAAAATATCGTTAGGGACACATCTATCACTAAAAAAAAAAATAAAGGGATAAATTATCTCTTTAAATTATAAGTTAATACAAATCACCTTTTTTTTTTTAACGTTTTTGTTAAAAAATGTTGACGTAACAAATAAAATTCTGACGTTTTTTGTTAAAAAAAAGTGATTTGTATTGATTTATGATTTGAAGATTTGAAGGGACAATTTATCCATTCATTTTTTTAAGAGGTGGATGTGTCCCTATTGATATTTTTTAATAGTAGATTTAAGGGTTTTACCTAAAATGAAATTTAAAAAAATACTTGTTTCATGTAAATCGAAGTTTTCCTATTGTATTGACTTACTCAAAATTAATCATTAAATAAGGAAGGCTTTTAAATATGAGGGCCTCAGTTTAAATTTAAAAATGTTATATCAAACATAGCATAAATGGGAATCTCAATGATTAAATTCAAAAGTAAAAAATATTGTCTAATAAATCAAATTTAAGAATTGATATTAAAAAATTAATTTTTTTAATTTGTTGTAGAGATTTTTTTTTTATCTTGATTACATAATAAAAAATAATTATCTTTTATCTTTTATCTCATCTTATCTGTATATTATACAATCTAAATTTAAAATTTTATACTTCTAATTAAAAGAGATAACCAATAAACTATTTAGATAATTGACGTTGAAGAGATATTCTTTCAAAAATCACTAAGGTGCGTCGCAATCGGTTCATAAACATCCTAATTGAAAATACAATAAAAGTAAAACTCAGCATAAATGACATTACTTATTTGCAGTGGCAAAGCCGCGTTATAGCAAGGGAATATTAAAAATTTTAATTTTTTAAATTTTCTGTAGAGATATATTTTTTAAAAACGCACTAAGGTGCGTCACAATCGATTCATAAACATCCTAATTGAAAATACAATAAAAGAAAAACACTGCATAAATGACATTACTTATATGCAGTGGCAAAGCCGTGTTATGGCAAGGGGCCTTAAACCTTTTGTGAAAAAATTAACATTGAAGTTTCCATTTTATCCTTAAATAATTTGTTTCATTTAATTATTTTAGTCAATTTTAAATTCTTTTTGTGCACTAAAGATGAGAAAAGATGTAAGTAAAGATGTCAACTTTGTATTTTTTATTTAATGATATTAATTTTATCATTTTTTAAATAAAAATATTAATTTTTAATTTTTTTATTTAAAAATATGAACTTTTAACTTTTTTCTATTTAAAAATACTAACTTTCAATATTTTGATTAAAATATCTATTTACCACATTAGCGTCACTATCTAATTAATTTTTAAATAGAAAAAATTGAAAATTGATTATTTTTAAATAAAAAAAAATTAAAAGTTGACATTTTTAAATAAAAAAAAAGTTAAAATTTGACATTTTTATTTAAAAACTGATAAAGTTAACACTCTTAAATATAAAAAATATATAAAATTGATATCGTTATTTATACATTTTGTCCATTAAAGACTCAAGAAATTTTAAAATATCTTTTCCTTAAACTATTTTTTAATTGTTATGAAAAAACTATAGAAAAATTAATTTAACAAAAAGCTGAAGCTTAACTTTAAGAGATATTATAAAAAAAAAAAACTAAAAAATAATTTCTATGCAGTGAGTCATATTAATACCTATCTCAATATTTCATATCAAATTAACGTTGTAAATGTTTTTCATAAAAGTTAGGATAGAAAGGTTCTAAAAGAGAGACTAAAAACGAAGTTGCAATTCCAACTTTAAAAATACTATTTTATAATGAATATTTTTAAAAATTAATTATTGAATTGAATGTTTTATTACTATAAATTATACTTATCTATTTTTAAATTTATCTAATATATATAATCATTTAATCAAGAAATTTATATTTTTTAACATATATTTAATTGTGTTAAATTTTATATAATCAATAAATTAAATATATTTAATTGATCTAAAAATTAACATGCATATTTATATAAAAAATATTAAATTCAATAGTTAATTTTTATAAATATATATATTAAAAAGTGATGTTTTAAAAGTTAAAATTTTAATTTTTTTTATGAGAGTTAAGAATAATATGCACTATTTTTTAATTTTATTAATATTTTTTTTCCCACATCAACATTTAAATTGATGATGAAAATTTTCGGTTTGCCCCTCTAACAAAAATTTCTAGTTCTGTCACCACTCATATAATATGAACCAGAGATTTAGGGGGAAAAAAAAACCCACAAACTGTTTCCAAAGTCATACAATAGACGTGAAATGGTAAGAGGATGGATATCCTTGGGGTATGGATGTTGGTGGAAAAAGCGTTAGGAATGGTTGAAATTTCCTTCCAGCTATGGTCTATCTATCCCCACTGCTACGTCAGACTTCTCATCCCTTTAAAAATTTTTATTGAGGAAGTAGTTAGCAAAATATTGTATAGAGAATGATAAGTTTTGCAGTAGAATTTTATTACTATTTTGTTAAGTTATTAATTTTGTTATATTTGGTAAGAAATTGGTATATAAAAAGTTGTCAAATAGGTTTTATATAAAGAAAGTTAGAGGAAACTTTTTATCATAAAAAAAATATAGGAAAAAAGTTTACAAATTGAGAATTGATTCAGAAAAAAAAAAAAAATAAAGGTAGAGAATGGCATTTTTACCCTCATTTTATTGTAGTATTAATGTGCAAAAATACTAAGTAAACTTAATTATATGAGAAAAGTTTAGAAAACTTTAGGATGAAAGTTTCGCCTTAACCACACACCCCCTTGAAAAATTAATGTGTATAAAACTTAAATTAAATACTAAATTTGGTCACTCAATTTTTAATTTTGAATAAATTTCACCTCATATTATTATTATTATTATTATTATTATTTGTACTTTTTACGCCTCTTAACTTTAGAAAAACACATTTTTTTATCTTTCTAGTAGGTATTGATGACACATATCTATTAAGTCCAAATCGACACTTTTTGATGATGTCGAGATAATTTTTTATATAATTTTTATATATTATTAAATAAGTAAATGTTTTTAATATTATAAATTTTAAATGAATAAAAAAATTAATAATTTAAATGATATGAAATATTTTACAAAAATTGTTTCTTAATTATTTACTTCATTTAGTAAATAATAAAAAATTCAAAATTACATAAATAATCTGACAAACTTCATTTTCTGAGTATGGATCCAGTTAAATTAAGTTTTCCTCAAAATAGGAAAAAACGACTATCATTTAGAGATAAATTCAAAATAAAATAAAGAAACGTTTATTATTTTGAGATGGAGATAGTAATAGATA